AACTCAGTGGAGGAAATACCATCAAGGCAATTAACACCTGGGCAATTCCAGTCATTAGATAACACAGCTGGAATAGTGGACTGGACTCAAGGAGAACTAGATAGGAAGCCCTGGATAGGAAGACCAGAAAAATAATGACAATGAATCATGCCCTTCATCCATACAGCAACATTGACAGACTCTACCTACCAAGGAGCATAGGTGGGCATGAAATGTTGCAAGTACACCAGACAGTTGAAGAAGGAGAAAGGGCATTGGAAGAATACCTGAAGGACAGTGAAGATGTACTGAAGCTAGTACACCATGGAGGCTTACTGAATACTGAAGAGACCAAACTGGCCTACAAGAAAGACCAAATGAAGCATAGAAAAGAGACATGGCAAGACAAAGGATTACATGGCCAGTACACAAAAAAACTAGCAGGCAAAGCAGATAACAAGACCTGGCAATGGCTAAGAGCAGAAAAGTTGAAGAAAGAGACAGAGGGGCTAATTCTGGCTGCACAAGACCAAGCCTTAAGGACAAATGCATATAAAGCCAGAATTGAGAACACAGCAACAGGCAGCAAATGCCGCCTCTGCAAAGAAGCTGAAGAAACAGTGGATCACCTAGTTAGCTGCTGCAAGAAGATCGCACAGACTGACTACAAACAGTGGCATGGCAAAGTAGCCACAATGGTGCGTTGGAATATCTGCAAGAAATACCACTTGCCTGCAAGCAAGAACTGGTGGGACCACAAAACAGACAAAGTAACAGAAAATGAAGAAGCTAAAGTGCTCTGGGACTCTAGAATTCAAACAGACAAACACCAGCCACACAACACCCCAGACTTAACAACTGTTGACAAGAAAGACAAAAAAGTCTGAATAGCGGACATTGCAATATCTGGAGACAGCAGAAGAGAAGAGAAAGAACTGGAGAACATCACAAAATACAAAGACCTGCAAATAGAAGTAGAAAGACTGTGGCAAAAGAACGCAAAGATAGTCCCAAGAGTAATAGGGGCCTTGGGTGCAATCCCAAAACATCTGGAGCACCACTGGAAGACCATCGTCATTGACAAAATCACCATCAGTCCATTGCAAAAGGCAGCTTGACTTGGAAAGGCTTACATCCTGTGACGATACTTTTAACACCATCAAACAACATCTGCCTATCGCAGGTCCTTGGGAAGGACTTGATAGGTAGATAAAAATGCCAAATCCAGTCTAAACATCTGGCTGGCTGTGCAACCAACAATAATTTATTAAGCTTGTATGCTGCCCAACTTACTCATGCTGCAGTCTACACCAGTGTTTTTCAAACTTGGTAACTTTAAGAAGTGTGGACTTCAACTCCCAGAATTCCCCAGCCAGCTGGAATGTTGGGAGTTGAAGTCCACACATCTTAAAGTTGCCAAGTTTGAAAAACCCTGCTCTGGAACAAAAGCACATGGCTGCTTTAGGACTGCTTATGTTTCTAGGCCCACTGTAACCCTAACCGCTTCACTAAATTCCTACTGAAATTTACTCTGAAGTCCCACCCCATTCATGGGCACTCTCTCCTAATAAACCCACATGGGTCTGCAGGGTTTTTATTTCATGTAGCCTCCCACAGGCCTTACCAAATGGTCTTCTTTCAAAGGATCAGGATTGTACAAAAGATGTCGCAGGCTGCTTAGGTTGGGCCATCATCTGCATTTCCAAGAACCTGGGAAAGCGGGAGACAAGAGGCAGGATTGTCTGAAAGCAGGATTGTTACACCTGAGGCATGACCAACGCTAGCTGGAAGCCTGGGAATTGTACGACATTTGCAGAGCATCAGGTAAGGTAAGACTAGCTGTTCCCCTTCAACCTCTGTCCCCAATGTGGACACCTTCCAAACTGGTGGACTTCAACTCCCAGAATTCCTTGGGCATTGTACAGAATTCTGGAAGTTGAAGTCCACCCAGCTGGCAGTTGCCATTGAGGGAAACAACAGCTGAGACAAATATTTGCCCATAATAAGAAAGAAAAAGGAAGATCAGGAATTGAACCAGAATCGTCTGTACATTGCAGCTGCAGTAGATGGGGCCACATCGCATTTGAGGGTGCAGTGGGCTTTTAGGGTGGACCTCATGGGGTTCTTTTGCTGCAGAAAAGTAAAACACTAAACAACTGGCTTATGTTCAAAAGCTTAATATATAACTGATTCTGTGTACTGAAATCTTCCCTGAATAATGATAAATGGGTTTAATTTCAACCACCTTGAGATTCTGTCTATATCAGTGTTTCTGAACCTTGGTGGCTTTAAGTTGTGTGGACTTCAACTCCCAGAATTCCCCAGCCAGCACAGAAGTCCACACATCTTACAGTTGCCAAGTTTGAAAAAAACTAATCAAGAGACATCACCATCAGTGGCTGGAAATGGACTGTCTCTATCAAACTGGATTTGCAATCAATCTGATACCCTGGCAGCTGGCTCATTGGCCTACCTGATTTCTTATATTTTTAAATTATGATTTTTTATTTTTGATGGAAATCTGGCGTTCTGCAAAGCAAAGGACCAGTCTTAGACACAATCTATTTCCCAGAAGTCCGCACATCCTAAAGCCGCCAAGGTTCAGAAACATTGGTCTATATTTCAGCTTTCCCCAGCCTAATATTTTTCATCGTATCCATTTCCTTAAACACCCTGAGAGCCAGTTTGGTGCAGTGGTTAAAGGCATCTGGCTACAAACCGGGGGACCCCGAGTTCTAATCCCATCTTAGGCAGAAAGCCGGCCGGTGACTTTGGGCCAGTCACTCTCTCTCATCCCTCGGCAGAAGGCAAACCACTTCCGAAAACATAAAAAAAAAAAACTGCAGGGACTTCTCTGATTCGAGAAATATTCTCTTTTGGATTAACCTGGCAGAAGAGATCCAGGAGTGCGCTGTGTCAGGTTCACAACCACTAAACATTCCCAGGAAGGGGATTCAAGCCAGCAAGCACGCTATACCCCGGAGAGCATTCGAAAGACCATGCTTACAAAGGACTCCGCCTAAGGCCACCTCGTTTCCACGGCTCTTCTCGACTTTCCGTTCGGTTCAACTCTGTTCTAGCGCTCGCTAAATGTTTGTCAGTTTCTAGGAAATAGAGCATCGGGTCGCACTCAGATTCTCGCGAAGGAGGTGGGTAGTACCTTTTCCGACTAGCCAATTTTATTCAAAGGCATACGCTTTTGGGAAGGTGCTACCTGACCCCTGATTTTTTGTCACCGTAACCTCTCCTCCTACAATGTTTGCACCAGTGTTTTTCAACCTTGGCAACTTTAAGACGTGTGGACTTCAATTCCCAGAATTCCCCAGCCAGCCTTCTGGGGA